ATTCTGAAAAGGTAGTTTTTACATTGACTATCGATAAAACGTATATTTGAAACGATTATTACCTGTGCAAAAAATTTCCATCCCCGCCCCCTTTTTGTTCAACATACAAATTTAGTCAAGAAGTTGTATTTTATCTATTGCTACGTTTGTCTTAGCATCAAAAATCAAACGGAAGTAAAACATTTTTTGCATTTTGCGTCAGGGGGGATAATAATGATAAAAAGGACTACAAAAAGAGTTATGAGTATTTTTTTTTTTTGAGTCTATATAAATCAAGAACGCTATCACATACATTAACAAAACAAAGTAAAAACAAATTGCTGACATTGTAATTACTGAACCAATTTATTGCTGACATTATTTAGCATAGACAACCACACACACTTAGACACAATATTATAAAATTCAAAATTATCAAATTTTCTCATTAGGCAGTGTCACTTTCTTTAAACCAACTTGTCAATGTCAAACCATTTATTTCATTAACACTAAAATCACAAACAGATCAAACACACTGTGCACATATAGAAAATATACACGCCCTGCCCTCACAAGTTAAAAAAAAAACTGTCCAGCAGGCTGTTGATTCTAGGTAACAAACATGAAATCAACTTTTTGCTGGCTCAGAAAATGTTTATGTAGCTTATCAATATTTAAATGTCACTGTTGTTTAAAATTATATATAATAAAAAATCCTATCAAGATTTTTTCAATATGCACTAATTTGATTGACAATTAATTCACTGTGATTTAACTATTCATACAGTAAACAATACTGTAAATTAATTTCTTTAGTAAATACATTACAAATGCATTTATAAAAACAACAAATTATTTCCTTTAAATAAAACCTTCAACTAAAAAATCTATTATTTTATTCGTCAAAAACTAAAACTTCATACTAAGATAAATTCTACTTATAAAATATTATTTTATCAATAAAACAAATTATTTCATAAACAAAACAAATTATTTATACATAAAACTAATTATATCAGAAACGAAACAAAGTATTTAGCATTAAAAGTTCATATTGTTCTGGTCAGATATGGCATTAAAAACCAAAAGTAAACTCGTTGGAAGAGTTCGTAAATTTGTAGTAGTTTCTCACACCTGTTTTATTGTCACATTCAAGTTTCACACCCCCAAAACTCTTATTGCACAGACTCTGCAGACTTTCAGGACCAGCGCCGACTTCGTTTGAGTTGCCGCTTGCACTGGCAGACTGCGGCTCACTCTCAAATCCAAAACTGAACGAGTTGTCTGAGGGCAGGAATTTGAAACTGTCGTGAAGTGACTTACTACAGCAGGCGGCAGAGGAGTCATTGGTGACCCTGGTATCGGAGTCACTGGCGTTCATGACTTCAATAGTATGAGGGTTAGAATTTTCAGTGTCATGGTTTGTAATGGGTGTTGCCCCATTTTGTTGTGTTGTAGAACTGAGAGTGAGGTTATTTAAATTACTTTCCAGCTGGCTATTGGCTAGAAACTGTTGCTTGGCGTGGCTTTGCTTGAGAAATTTTGATTTTCTGTGGATTTTGTTTCCCAGAGGTTGAAATCTAGAATGCCGCAGTCCTGAAAAATGAAAACTTATTCAGTTCTTGGAGTAACTTTTTAAATTTTAAGTTCAGTGTTGAAAAAATCAGATTAGGCCTGCAAAAATTAAATATACATCTATAAAACTAAATTTAATACTTGAATTTATGTTTAAAAAGTTTTATTACAAAATAAAATTATTAGAGCTGTAATAAAATATAAATTGCAAACAATTAAACAGCAAGAAAATATGTAAATCTATATTTTAAAATCTCAATAAAAAACAATCAAAACATTAAAAAAATGATTATCAGAATATGCAAATCACTAAGTTGACTAAGTCGCATACTTACCCTCAACAAAAAAATTGCTAAGAATAGTCTGTAACTAAGGTTGACTCAGCCAATGGATAAAGGTTTATTTTACATTATTTTATAATAAATCATGTCTTTAAGAAATTTTGATGACCAATTACCTGACAAGGACTTAGCCTCTGCTTCTTTCATCTTTTTTCTATAATCTCCAAGAGCATTCCTCATGGCCTGTCTCTTCTTAACCATTGGTGCCTTGGTACTGTTCAGGATCTTTAATATTTTTATTGTCTCAGCCACTGCAATTATTTTTCAAAATAAACATTTTTAAAAAACAAATTTATTTTTTTAAAAACAGGTAAGCTTTTGAAGGCATTAATTAAGAAATGCAGAACCGTAGTTATAAATATTTTTTAATGTTTCTGTATGGGCTACATAGGAAATTCTCCCCCCCCCCCCCTAAAAAATTTGAATGTTGATAAATTGTTAAAAATCTTCTACCTTGCTTAGAATCAGGAGACTGCCTCTGTAAACCAATTTCTAGTTCAGTGATGCACCATTGAAGTTCCTCTACAAATTTTTTAGCCTATAAAAAAAATAGAAAATATCAATATTCTAATACAGGGGTTAACTATCAAATTTCAATTTGGGCCCAGTTTCTTCCGAACATGTTGTGATTTTACTGAGCAAAGTTCCTCAGCCATCACTGACAAACGTTTCTTTCCGTGGACAAAAAGATCTCCGCGGGCCGGATGAGAGGACCTCGCGGGCCGCATCTGGCCTGCGGGCCATAGTTTGGAGACCCCTGTTCTAATAGTATAATACACTTGAAATAAGTATAGTGAAATTCGAAATAATCAAACCCCAGTTTTATTATGATAAGTATGACCATAATTTTTGTGTTTGCTAACTTACTTCTTCAGATGAGTTCTCCATTTAAATTTAGTAAATCTATTATTAGACACCTGGAAATGAAGAAAATAATGATGTGATTTGTTTTTGAACAAACACAAAGAACTATCTAATATATAATATAGGCCTAGATTTAATATATATTATAGGCCTATAGCCTATAGTATCTAATTCTAGTATAAGTTATTAGTATTTAAGTAGTAAGTCACAGATGATCAGAAAAAAAATCAATAAATTGTTGATCATATTCCACAATAATTAGGATATAGATCTATAGGTAATCGGGTATTAGGGTGTATATATATTGTATAATATATAGATCTAGGCCTATATATATATAATTATATATAATGCTCATTGCTCATTTATGATTTTTCATGGTAAAATCCAGTGTGAGGTGACTGGAACTTTTAGATCTAGAATCTAGATCTAGATCTAACTAAACTAAATCTATATCTCTAGGTCTTGGAATAGTATAATTGTATTTTACTCTGTTTACTGAAAAAATTTTATACTTTTATTATTAATTATTTGACAGGCATGACAGTGAAAAAAACTAAATTGAGAGAATGAATCTCAATCTCAATGACGATCGATAATCAAAATGTTGATGTTGATTTTCGTATGACACGAATGCCTTGGAATGAGCGCTAGATCTAGATCTAGGTGAATATGGCAAGCAGATCACCGTCCTAGCCTACAGCAGACAATAACTAGATTCTAAATCTAGATCTAGAATCCAGTTTGTTTCTAAGTAGAAATTAAAAAGTTATCAAAACCAAATTGAATTTAATAAATATGAAAGTGAAAGTTCCTAACTTGGCAAATCCATTAGCAATCGGAAGTAGATATAAAAGGATTTTTTTACTAAAGAGCGTAACATTTAGTGACTTCCTGAAAATTTATTTTCATAAGGGATCATCCATTTTGGACCATTTAAGACATCCCCACTCCCCACTGTACACGGGGAGGGGGAGGGGAATCGGAAAAAAGCAGGGGGGGGGGAGTCATAAAGGAAAAATTTTATCGAAAAAAAAAGTCAGAAATAAATTCGCAGAAAAAAGTCAGGGTATTTTAAGAAATATTTTGATTTAATTGTTGAGAATTCGGGAAGGTCAGAAACAAATCGACTTTTGTGGACGCGTTTGGACTGGGGGGGGGGGGGGACCCACATGTCGAATTTTTCATCAAAATACTTACAGCTAAAAATTTTAAAATAAAAAAAAAGTATAAAATGAAAAACTGCATATAAAATTTGTGAATTAAATTGGCTGTTCTTTCTAGCGTTAAAAAAAATCACCAGCTTCATGTGTGAATAAATCAAATGTATCAGGATTTAACTGTATACTGCCCGACTAAAAAAAGAAGTGGCAAATTTTTATAAGCGCGAATGGGGGGGGGGGGGGGGGGCATTGACCGCGGCAATTTTCTAAAACAATGCACGATATTTCAAGTTATCTTTAAAATTTTCAAATAATTGAAACATGTTTAAAAATAATTAGATATAGACCTCCGTGATAGATCGTGCAACCAAATCATAGTAGGTCTACACCATTATTTTGTGTCAAAGCCTATAATAAGAAGATGTAGATCTACTTCTTTTTTTTGATCAGGTGTGTATGTCTCACAAAAACTGATGGAGAAGTGTCCGTAAAGTTCAGTAAAAGTAACATGACGTCACGTTGAAGAGACGAATTTTACCCCCAACCCATATAGTCATTCATAGCAACACAGCCACAAATTACATCAAAATGATGAAACAGTTCGGTCTACAGCCCCACTTGCCCACCCTCTTAAATAAAAAATATTTTATGACTCTCTCAACCTCTGATGACTTCCTTTAGGAAAAATAGTGTGTAAAATCGAATGGTACACAGCGTCCATGCGCGATCTCACTTTCAATAAAAAAAAAAAACTAAGCGCTTAACATATTGGGCCTAATTATACTAAGTCGTTTAAAATATACCTATTTTTTCAACACTTCCTGGGCTCTACTTTTAATACTTAGTCCTAGTAAAGATCGATGTTGCCGAAAATATCTAATTTATAGCATAGTAAGGCAGAGGCGTAGCGACCCTTCCCGGCGCCCGGGGACATACTTTCAATTTGGCGCCCCTTGGGAGCAAATTTTCGATTTGCACCCCCCCCTCTAACTTTTCATTTGCACCCCCCCCTCGAACTTTTGATTTGCACCCCCCCCTCAAACTTTCAATTTGGCGCCCCCCCCCCTAAGGTCGACGCCCGGGGACATATGTCCCCCCCCCGCCCCCCCCCTCGCTACGCTACTGTAGTAAGGTACACATAGCATGTTACTGAATTAGTAATTAGAGAGATTTACTTCATGTTTGTGGACGTCCACGTGGGTGGAGGGGGGGGGGGGGGGGGGTTCGTCGAAAGTGGGGTTTTAAATTTCAAATTTTTGTGGACGTCATAAATTAATGACTCCTCGTTTTATTACTAAATTAGTACATTTTAAAAATTGCGTTATTCTTGTTTTAGCTTATTGACATTTTTCTCTTCCGAAAAATACTCCAAAAAAAGAAATAATCATGCTATTTTGGTCTTTGAAATATTCCACGCCACACATTTTGAACTCCTCTCTCATTACGTAGCCAAATCGATTGCTGACCCAAGAGTCGAGTGTGGTTTCGGTGAGTCGGTTAGTTTCGGAATGTGTTACCCCCAATTTATTTTGAGTTCCTGACTGAAATGTGTTAGGGAAAGTAAAAGCGGATGTGTATATAGGCCTACAAATGACCATTAATATAATAATTAATATATTTTGTCAATGTCACAGAAACATGTTAACTTTACTTTATGTACTATTTTAACTTTACTTTATGTACTATTTTGCTATATTAATTACATTTTGTATTATTGAAAAAAAACACAACGAAAACGATTTCGATAAACTTTAGAAGTATGGTTATTTTATAAGAAAATATTGGGGGGGGGGGGGGTGGGTAGGGTTGCCAGATACCTTTTCCGAAAATACTGGACACCTTTCCATCCTTCCCTTCTCAGGTATGCCGCAAAGCAGAAGAAGGGGGGCAACAGAGTATTTGTATTATTCATATAGTTGTCCAGTATTTATATTTATTTTATCCTGGACAGTCTGCTCAAATACTGGACTGTTTGAACTGGACACCTGGCAACCCTAGGGGGGGGGGGGGAGGTGAAAGTGTGACGTCATACAGGTCTACAAGTAGGCCTACTGATAATTTATGACAACATGTGACAATACTGAGCTATGGGGTAAACGGGACTGAAGTTGACTAACACCATTTTTGATTGACAACTAAGTAGTGAATATGTAGATATGCCTTAGTTCTAGACTAGGCCTGATTATTCCAACGATAGGCGTATTCAACTGTTTAGGCTAGCTAACCTAAATAAAGGCCGTAAACCTAAACTTTTTAAAACATTTTTCCTTGAAGACTGCTTCCTGCGCGCATGCGTGTTTGGTCAAGCCACGTACGACCAAGTTAACAAGTACCGGATGACCAAATTTTTAACTACTATTTAAGACTGAATCCACCTGGTTTTAGTTAAATACAATTGACATATTGTTGAATTCAATATCACAAAATGGTAATTCATTTTTGTATTTAGTTATTTATTATCTATACTCATTGGCAGCTTAAAATAAACACTGTAGTGCAGAGATGGAATGCCTGTTCACAAGGAAAAATAGCAGTTTTTTCAGATTTTTTGTTTGTTTTCATTGAGTTGTTTTATTTGACATTAAGAATCTAGACAAGATTTACATTTGTGGTCAGTGCGATATTGCTAATTAAAAGCTCTGTTTCATAGAGCTACTCATAATTAGATCTAGATCTAGGCCTATACAAATAATACAATTAGATCTATATTATTAAAAATATTGGTAATCTATCGTTTTGGGTACGTAAAATCGCCCGCGACTAGTAATGTGAAAAACAGGTGACTCCTTAAATTTTAATAATTATTTCACATTTTGAGGAGGATTTGTGTTTTGAAAAATACAAAAATGTTTCATTTATGTACCTGTTTTCAAACAATTGAATTAAAACTTTTCAATAATAAATGAATACTAGCGATGTTTCCAACAGATGCAACCATGCTCATTTACTCTAGCAGCCATCTTGTTTAAGTTCTTTCTTTGTTAATTTATAGCGCGAGATCAGGGGAAGGCAACTCTATTTTACAAATGGCTGCTGTTTATATAGGAAATCCTGCTCGCAAACACTGCTGTTAAAAGTTAATTTCTTGCCTATATTGATATATTTAGCTATTGATTTAGGTTATTTATTCATTTATCTATAATATTTGACACAAATATATCAAAATATACTTCTATTAAAGCCTTGACAATGAGGTAACTTTTTCGTACATTACTAGCCGCGGGCGATTTTACGTATCCAAAACGATAGATTACCAAAATATTATTGCTTAGGGGCCTATTGACAATCATGTTTGAGTCTGACCAATGTGAATGTTGAATGTATCTTTCTGAATCTTTGATTTCTAGATTTACATCTATCACCCAACAATCACTAACTCAAATGATGTAGAATAATCTTACTTAATTCTAGAAATCCGGCCTCTAGAGTCTAGTGATTATTTTCATATTTTTGCAACATTATCTTAGTGTCTTAGTGCATATTCAGTGTAACTGTGGTGCATTCATTTCATTTTGTTGGCTTTTACATTTGATTTAGGGCTTAGGGCCTATCATATTTATTTAGAATTTTAATTAAACAATGTTTGAAGGCATGTGATAAATTATTAGATCTAGATCTATAATGTATTTATTCTAAGTGCTAGAGTTTAAATCAAGACGATCGATAAAAATCAGCCTAAAATATGAGTTAACAGTAAACAATTCAATAGGCCCTAAGCCTTAGGCCTATATTATAATCTAAAACATTGACATAAAGAAATATAGAGAATTCAAGTAACCCAATAGTAAAACTAGAGAAGTGAAAGTATGTTTCCACTTGAGAATTACTAAGGCCTAACAGCATTGTTACAAAATCATTAATAGCTACTGATAAGTGATTAAACCATCTAGGCCCAAACACACAGAGAATAATTTAGGCCTAATGTTGTTGTTTTTTTTTTTAATTTTAGCCCCTGCGATTAGATGTAAAGCGCAAGCTTTCAGCTCGCTCAGATCGTGTGAAAAGTGTTGATCTTCATCCAACAGAACCTTGGATGTTGGCAAGTCTTTACAATGGAAATATACATATCTGGAACTTTGAATCACAAGTAAGATAACTTAAAAAATAAAATACTTGTCGCTAATTCTATCATAGCTTTCAACTAGGCCCTCTAGTTTATGAAGATTTATTTAATTAACCTGAAATATTACATTTTAATTAAGAATTACTTTTTTCCCAGCAACTCATCAAATCTTTTGAAGTATGTGATTTGCCAGTTCGTGCTGCAAAATTTGTTGCCAGGAAAAACTGGGTCATATCAGGATCTGTAAGTAACCTAATTATTTATGTAAAAAGTAATTTTTTTTCTTCTGTAAATAGTTCTTTTTAATATTTATTAGGCAGTAAAAAGTAACTTGAATACTCTTTGTATTACAACTTTGCCACAATAAACCATTATTTTATTTATTTACAAATGAAAGCTATGATATCCGTTGTTTTATCAGGATGATATGCACATACGCATTTTTAACTACAACACACTTGAACGTGTTCACCAATTTGAAGCCCACTCAGATTATCTGAGGTCAATTGCTGTTCATCCAACTCAGCCCTTCATTCTTACTAGCAGTGGTAAGCAAAAGTTATTTTTAAAATTAATGCTATTAATTATATGTTGTGTTGAAATTAAACTATTATACAGAGAAGTTAATGACTAATATTTCAATTATTTTACAGATGATATGCTCATCAAATTATGGGATTGGGATAAAAAGTGGACATGTACTCAAGTTTTTGAAGGACATACACATTATGTCATGCAGATTGTTATTAACCCTAAAGATAACAATCAATTTGCAAGTGCATCTTTGGACAGGACAATAAAGGTACTGGTTATTCATTTGAATAAATAGTACATATAGTGTTTTTATCAGTCTTTATTTTATAATGTAGTTACAAGAAAATCTTTATAATATGATTGACAATTGTTTTCTGCTAGGTTTGGCAACTTGGATCACAGACTCCAAATTTCACACTCGAAGGCCACGAAAAGGGTGCCAACTGTGTGGATTACTACTCAGGTGGAGATAAGCCCTACCTAATTTCCGGTGCTGATGACAGACAAGTGAAGATCTGGGATTACCAGGTTAAACATTGATTTTGTTTTCTTTTTTTGTTTTTTTTATTTATTGTATAGCTGCCGTTCAGAGTATTCCTTTGCAGCTTTTATTTATTAGACAATAACTATACATTATTTTGCCTTACAATTTGAAAGGTTAATCTGTTATTAGAATCTTAACTTTATTGGTTACTTAAAAATAGTAATGCTTTATTTTTTTTATCTCTGAGTAAACATTTGTTTCAGAACAAAACTTGTGTTCAAACTTTGGAAGGTCATGCACAGAATGTTGCTGCTGTTTCATTTCATCCTACACTACCCATAATTCTTACAGGATCTGAAGATGGTGAGCTATCTTGTTTAAATTAAGTACATTTTGCTCTCTTTCAATCTCTGTTGCTGTAGTTTTAGAGAATATAATTTTATTTTAAAATATGACAGGCACTGTGCGTATTTGGCACGCTAACACTTACCGCTTGGAAAGTACCCTGAATTATGGTCTGGAGAGAGTGTGGACTATCGCCTGTCAGAAAGGTTCTAACAACGTGGCTCTGGGTTATGATGAAGGAAGCATCATCATTAAGGTATAGCTATATATTTGTTGTGCTAAAATTAAAATACATTATAGTGTCAATGAACCTTTCATTTAATAAATTTTAAAGAAACAAATTAGCATAAGATATATTCTCTGTATCAAAAGCTTGGCCGTGAAGAGCCTGCCATGTCGATGGATTCCTCAGGAAAAATCATCTGGGCTAAGCATTCAGAGATCCAACAAGCAAATATTAAAGCCATGGCAGACCAGGAGATCAAGGATGGAGAGAGGCTCTCATTAGCTGTCAAAGATATGGGGAGCTGTGAGATCTATCCTCAGACCATCTCACACAATCCTAATGGAAGGTACAGTAGCTATATTTTGTTTACTTTAGTAATTAGTTGTACCCACATATTTATTTAATAAGCACCAGTAATACTAATTATGAATATTTATGCTGATAAGTAAGCTCTTTTGAAGAATAGAACCATTGGTTAATTATTCATGACCAAAATTTGTGGAACATGTGGGCCTAATAAATGTTGCTACCATGATTTTATTTTATAGATTTGTGGTTGTGTGTGGAGATGGAGAGTACATAATTTACACAGCCATGGCACTGAGAAATAAATCCTTCGGGTCAGCTCAAGAATTTGTCTGGAGCAGTGACTCATCAGTATATGCTGTCAGGGAAGGGAGTACCTCTGTGAAAATCTTTAAGAACTTTAAGGAACAGAAATCCTTCAAACCAGACTTTGGAGCAGAAGGTTGGTTTTCTTAACACAACTGGAGAACTAATTTTTCTTTGATAATAAGGTTATAATTTTTTATTTATTATGAATAAAAAATTAATATGCAATTTTTTATCCACGTAGGCATTCATGGAGGTAACATGCTTGGTGTAAGGTCAGTTAGCGGACTAGCATTCTATGATTGGGAAACGACAGAACTTGTTAGACGTATTGAGATTACACCCAAGCATGTATGTATTAGTGCAGTCATTTTACTTTTTGTATAGTAAATATCAGATTGAGATCCTTTGTTAAATTAGCTAAATGTATGATGTAAACTACTGTCTAAAACATAATAGATTTTAGTGCTATAACAATATTTTTTTGACTGAATAGTGATGTTAAAATCAATCCTTCTAATCTAAATTGTTGAAACTTCTGATTTTAGATTTTCTGGAGTGAAAATGGACAGCTGGTCTGCATTGCCACTGAGGAGTCATTTTTCATTCTGAAATTCAGTGCTGAGGCTGTGGAGAACGCTAAAGAGTCTAAAGATAAAGTCACTGAAGATGGCATCGAAGATGCTTTTGAGGTAAGCCAAACTTTGTAGCACTAGTTGTTTTTAGATTGTTTTTTTTTTTTTTTTAGTTTACAAGAAATAGAAAACATTTCATTTTATTTAAATACAACTTTTAGGTATTAAATGAAATTGAGGAGACTGTCAGGACTGGCATATGGGTTGGAGACTGCTTTATCTACACCAACAGTGTCAATAGGCTGAACTATTATGTTGGTGGAGAAATAGTAACAATAGCACATTTAGACAGGTAGGTTTTTTTTTTTTTTATCTTTACAAATTGTCTTCTTTTTCTACAACCAGATTCAACAGCTGTTTTAAAATGTTTATCAAAAGTTTTCCAAATTTTTTTTTCCAGGGTGATGTATTTACTGGGTTACATTCCAAAAGACAACAGACTTTATCTAGGTGACAAGGAGCTGAGCATCGTTAGCTACTCGCTACTTGTCTCCGTGTTAGAGTACCAGACAGCCGTGATGAGGAGAGACTTTGACACTGCTGATAAAGTGTTGCCAACAGTGCCACGTGAGCAAAGAACAAGAGTCGCACATTTCCTGGAGAAACAGGTCTGTTATCCCATTTGGTCAGACAAAACATTTACAACTGTCTAAATTGACTTTTCATGATGTTGTTTATAATTCCTTTCAAATTAAGCACATAAAATGCACACTCAACTAACAATTTAAAAAAAACTAAAGCACATGAAAGATACTATTTGTTTTGTTACTTAGATGAAGGCTATTTTAAAACTAGCTTTTTTTATATCCCCCTTAAGAATACAGTTTAAGAATAAACACAGAAGTAAAGAATAACAGATTAAAGTTGAGTGTTCTGTCCTCAGTTTAATCTCAGTTGAATTTAATGGTTTTTATCATTTTCCTAGGGCTTTAAATCTCAAGCTTTGGCTGTGACATGTGATCCAGAACACAAGTTTGAGTTGTCCATACAACTAGGAGACTTGCGGACTGCTTATGAGCTGGCTAAAGAAACTCAGTCGGAGCAGAAGTGGAAGCAGCTGGCTGAACTTGCCATTAGACGTTGTGAGTTTGGTCTGGCACAGGAATGTTTGCACCAGGTAAATTACCTTCACAAATCATCAAGGTTAAAGTAAAAAGTTATACTTCTCTCACTCTCTGTTGTTGTATTTCTAGTGGAGATAATTTATTTTAAAATAATACATACACAGTGAGTATATTGGCAGGTAAACACTTCCTGCTTGGGGAAAAAAACACTAAATTATGGTCTTAAAAAATTGTTTACATTTTATTTCAGGCTCATGACTATGGTGGTCTTCTCTTGCTGGCTAGCTCTGCTGGCAATAGAGAGATGGTTGGCAAACTGGGGGAGGCAGCAGAGAAATCTGGACAAAATAATGTAGCATTTTTATCAAATTTTGTTCTTGGCAAGTAAGTTGAACGGATTATCCAATTATTCAATACAATTACACATTATGATAATAATAGGCATCAGTGTTATTTTAAATTTCTATAAATAAATGTAATAATATTAACATAATAAAAAATCTATGTGAATGTTATTAAAAACATTGCAATGTTTAATATTTGTTTCTAGATGTGAAGAATGTCTTGAAATTCTTATCAACACTGGACGTCTACCAGAGGCTGCATTCTTTGCTAGAACATACCTACCCTCTCAGATTTCAAGGTATTCGTCTTTTATTATCTCATCTAGATTTGTTGTTGGTACATACAGTTTTAACTAGAAAGAATTGAGCTGAAAAGTTCCACCTTTATTTAATCTGAAATCTAAATATAGTGTTCTATGCTAGCTGTTCAGTAATTTAAATCATATTTTCTCTTTCAAGAGTTGTAGATCTATGGAAGAAGAACGTCTCAACTGTAAACAAAAAATCAGCTGACTTGTTGGCTGACCCGAAAGAGTATGAGAACTTGTTCCCTGGGCTTCGAGATGGTATCAAAACAGAACAGTACCTGAAACCCCAGCGAGAGAAGGTTTTACCAGCTGCTGCCTATTCTAAGATCCCTGTAAGTCAACATTCTTCTTAATTCATAGGAATAAAAAAAGCAGAGCTACTTTTTTAATACTGCTCTTTAAGTGTTAAAATGCTGTATATTATAATTTCTATTGGTAAAAAAAACTTATTTCATTAAGTAAAATGCTGCCCATAAACATTTATAAAGCTTTTCTTTGGATAAAACAATTTTTTTTCTCAATTTCTCTAAATATCTGCTGGTTTGGTTATTAGCAATATGTTTATGGCAATGTGGGACTTTTTGATGCATGTTTTTTTTTTTACACTACCACATCAATACAACATAATAAATATATTCTGTTAAATTGTAGAGCAACTCAGAGCGCAATCCAGTGGCGGAGATGCAGCAGGCTGAGGACAGTGGGCGTTTTGTGTATGCTGCACCAATCACAAAGGATGATGAGGAAGAAGACAACTTTCTAGAGGCTTCAGATGAATCACCAGTCAAGGTATGAATTTGATTTGAGTGCAGCTTTGCCTACCCATGACACGTCTTAGTTGGCGAATGTCTGTTTCTCCCCTATCTATTAGCTGAATTAGATTTTTCATTTCTGTAGCAGTTGCATGTCATTTGTTTTACCCTAATTTTTTAGGTACTTCATTAGCTAATCAAATTTAACTGTTAATTTTCTATTGATAATTATGTTATCTCTGTTTTAATCTATATTTACTATAATATCTAGATGTGAACCTCTTCCCTTAATTTTAATAGTTATTTTATGTTAAATAAATATAAATTATTCAATATGTGTTGCAATGAAAGTTCAAGTAAATTAGTATATTTAACTGGTTGTATTAAAATTTACCATTCCAAATTGTAAATATATAATATTTTCTGCTCATTGATAGTTTCAATAGATTTATGCTTTAAAAATAAAACGGTCTAGATTCTAAATTATGCGTCTTCACTTCCTTATTGAAAAACAATATTCAAAGTAATTTTTAATAAATTAATTATTATATGTACTCTAATTTTTTAAAATTAACAATAAAATATTCTTAAATTCTTACTATTGCTAAAGGTGAACAATAAAACTTTTTATATTCTTAGTCCTCTGCTAAAACAGAAGAACCTAGAGTGCCTCCACCCACACCTCCAACTGAAACACCTGCTGCTCCACCTGTCCTTACTCCAACACCTGCTGCTCCACCTGTCCTTACTCCAACACCTGCTTCTGTACCTAAGCCTGCAATCAACCCTCTCCCAGCCACCCCTAAGTCAGAACCTGCCCCTGATAAAACAGCTGCCCAGTCTGTAGAGGACCTTGAAAAAGAGCTTGACCTTGACTTAGAGAATTTAAATATGGATGATCTAGAAGGAGGGGTAAGTCATGATTGTGAAATCTAAAAATCTGTTAGCCATTGACACAATTCTTAGAAAAAGTGTTGTTGATACTGAGTAAAAAAAATTGATTCATTTAAACTGTTTAAGTTATGAAATATATTTGCACAAGTTTGTATAACTTTTTATGACACTAAAGTTACTGTGTTACTTGAAACAGCAACAAAAAAAATTTAAATGCATTAAGAACTGAATTTTGTAAAGTCAATAGGTTTAGGTTTTCTAACTCAGATATTGATTTTGTTTACAAAATGGGAGTTTTATAGTGTTAAAGTTTACATTCTGATTGATAAAATTTAATCTCCTTGCCCTGCACCTTTGTTTTGCATTTGTCTCACAACACACCCCAACTGTTAAATACTTCATGGGAGGTTGAAGGTTGTAAATTTTTTTTGTGAAATCACTCTGATCTGCTAATGTGCCATGACTTATGAAGAAGAATTCCATGATTCAAGTATGGTTATTTATAGATTATCTGTAGATAAAAGTTGTATAATTTATTATATTGGAGCCAATTTGATAAACTTCATTAACCCCTAAGTATGGAGTTTAATTTTAGCTTGTATTTGTTTTAAAATTGTGAAGAAAAGTTAGCATCATTACTGATAATTCATGCTTTTGTTTCTGAAAATTTGCCTTAGGGGTGGGCAGCCCTGTTTTGGGGTACTTACATTTTTAGCGCAATTTCCTTACTGACAATTGCGATTATTAATTCGTTATTTCTGGATGGATGGATGTGTGTCCGCAGCTTTAAGTCGTATCTCCTCAACGAAGCAATATCGAGGACTAGTTCCAAAAGCAAATATGTTAAGCAAGTTCCGAGGATGATTGTGGGCCCAAAAAATTCCCGGAATTCCTTCCTGGATGTCCCGGAAAAGCCAAAAAACCTTGAAAAAATGCAGTTTTTTGGCCCATATCTCGGCAACCAGACCACTTAGCGACTTGAAACATTTACCAATCGATTCCTGCCATAATTTAGAACAATATTGCCGAAGAAAGTTTTCAAAAATATCCTTTCGTTCTGTCACAAAAAATTAATTAAGGAAATTGCGCTTAAATTGTCACTAGACTTTTTATTAACTTGTTTAAATATTACCATGGCACAGACTGATCCGATGGCAAATTAATTTTTAAATGCCTATTTTTAAAACCTCATTATTAAGTAATATATTTTTATAAATTTAAAAATAATTGTTTGGTTGCCTGAATGTCTTTATTTATGTGTTAATTATTACATGATTTGGTGTTTTCCTGCTATCTAATTTAAAACCTTTTAATTATTTCAGGAGATGAATCTAGATGAAGATGATTTACTTCAAGACTGAGTTTCATGTGATTACTGTGTATTTTTATTGACCAAATTGGTTAGGGTTTAAATGCTATGAATGAGATGCACTGTTTTTATTTGACCAATGATAGGCCAACACTTTTTATTCAGACCTAAGAGGTTTATGGCTTGATTCACCATTCAAAAACATTTACCAAGTTCCTGAATATTTAAAATGTTCAGCAGCTGATGTAGATGATGATAAATGTTAAGTATTGGTGTGCAAGTATTTGTCCTTGATTGTTCAAGAAGTTTCATGTAATGTCCAATACTGACATTTTTCAAACAGCAAATCATTTTTTCACAACTTGTTAAAATCAGTGATACTTTCTAGTTTCACAATTTTTTTCTGTGTAAATACAAAAAGCACTTTTTCCTTTTAACAGCTAGCTTGATCTTGTGTATATATTTCTTTTTAGTGAGCTCTACTGGGATTTTTTTTGTTATATATTGGTGGGAACATAGTCCAATTTATTATTAATGTATATAAGAGTTAATTTAATCTAGTTAAAAATTTCTATTACATTTATGTTATAATAATGTAATTTGAAAAAAAAAAAGCTTTTCAACCATTGTCCATTCTATGAATATAACTGCCACTTTCTCATTAATGAGAGAAGTATGTTTGGGGCATGTCATTGTCTATTACATTTTAAGTGCTGTGTTTTTACATTGTTGTTTAAACAATATTTTTTCATTTGCATGAAAATCTTGAAAGGCATACTGTTTCAAAGATTAGTATTTAGGGTCATTGGGAGCCTGGCTGGTTAATGCTGCTCTTTGTGATCATAAGAAAAGTTATGAAAGCTACTGTAGATACTCGTTATCATTTGTATTATTTGATCTTGTATGATCATTGGAACAATAAACCATCTGTGAAAGAGAAATATCTGAATGTTACTCATTTAATATAAAACTTGTGGTTCTCAATGTATTATGTGAAATCGGTAACTGATAGCAACACCTGATCATCTGCTTCTGTAAGTTGCAAATGACAACAGAAATGCTAGTGATTGTCACCTCATTTCTTTAATGCTATATATCTTCTAAAGATGCAAAACCATCTTAGTTTCAAAAGAAACTGGCTGGTATGGCTATTATGAAAATTTCATTGTATTTAGACCTATCTATATATACATAATTCTCTTCTTGGAGACGATAGAAAAAACCTAGCTTTAAGCGCGCTCCCTACCACCCCCACATGGCCTGGTGAGCTGAGGTTCACGCTAAATAGTAGAGCCGGGTTTAGTGACGGCTATTAGGGGCAGATAATTTAGTTTGGTTTGAAACTATTTTAAACTTAGGGGAGGTAACTTTCAGGGGGGGGGGGGGTATCGTCCTTAACGAGCTACTGATTGTGTTTTAAAGCAAATATTTTCAGTGGCAGCGTTGGTACTGTAGAATTCACAAATTATGAATTACTGAAAAGTAGAAAATAAAACAACTAAATAGCAGCGGGTCAGCTCGTTAAGTATATTTTTGAGGTTGGTGTGTGTTCAGGAGGAACAAAAGAAACAACCACACAAAATAAAGTAACACTAACAACAGCAATGATGTAATAATTTATTTACTTGACAAGAATTTGACTAGAATTGTTCCAGATCACTTTTCTTTTTTTAATATATTTAAATGCAAAATTCAACTGAGTTCTTCACTATGTAAATATCAGATGTGACTTCTGTTTTGGCTTCAATAATGTTTAATTTTTACACCATCTGCAAAATTTGAGATTTTTGTTTCTAAAAAAAATAAACCTACAAGGGGTGTTGGGTAGGTGTGTGAAAAGTCACAAAAGCAATGTCGATGTATATTCAAAACCATCAGTAAAACAGAATGTATGAGGGGAATGTACATACTGGTAACATGAGAGTAAATTCCACAGGTGATAAAAAACTATAGTCAGGCACTTTTTATTTACATTGATATCATATTCATCCTTAATACTTTCTTACGGAGACAAAATATACCTATGGCTAACCAAAAAAAACAGGTATTTGTAATTACTTGATAAGTATGTCCAATCATAAATATTTTTGTATAACATGATATGCAGCGCAAGCTAACTATTTTGGTTTGGAATGTTTTAAAAAGGTGTTAAAATTCTTCAATATGAAAGTTGTAATATCAATTCGTCAACTTTCCATTTGTCACGTTAATGAAATATGACAACCCCATTCTTATGGAAATAATGATAATGTGCAAAAAATGGGTGCAATTTTTATGTTCTCAAGAATTCCATACATCTACATTGAAGTATTGAAGGCTATTTTAAATTACACAAGTCTGAAAATACCTTCTACAAACTGTGCAAAGGCTTTTTGTTTTCAAAATTAGACTAATTAATACATAAACATTTTTCCACCTTCAGCAGTGAAAAATGAAACACTTCTATTTCATAAAATAATACTTTTTGCTTACAATATTAATAAATAAACTCAATTAATCATTTTTTACCGATTAATTTTTAAGTTAAAATATTCATAAAATAAATTGTTATACAAAAATGCTGAATGGCATGAACTGGCAAGTCAATGATAATTAAAAAAACAATAAATCAAACTTATCAGTAGCTGAGCATTGTGTTGCAACAACAGGAAGACTAGAGGAAGAATGAAAATGTTTCCTCCTTTAGAGCTTGTCAACCACAATGTTTATAACATTTTACAACAAGAGGAAAAAAAATCTGGCCTAAAAAAACCTTCATTCACCTACAATGACCCTCCACAGATAAAACAATTGTGTCTGAAAAACCATAATTGCAACTGTTGGAGAAGTTGGTTTGGAACTAAGAAAGTTAGCCTTATATTCTAATAATATATAGTTCATTTATAAAGTCTGAAAGAATTTCCTATAAAATAATGTAAACTTTTTAAAAAATTATTTGAAAAATCAAAAGCATTATATTAAAAGTGACACTGTTTTATTTACAAATGCAAAAACAAAAAGTTAAAAATTTCATAAGTAACACTAATGCAACTATTAACATATTTCCTGGTTCACAAAAGAACTTTTCAAGCATGCTATTTGCTAATTAAGTTACCATGTTATAGACAATCCTTTTTTTTTTTTTAAAAACTACATTAAGTGAACTTAATTCTAAGACTAGTAGAAATAATAGCATTTTTAAAATTGACAAATAAAAAAATAGAACAAAAAAAAAGTGTGTAAACTACAAGGCCTTTAGTAAAATGATACTGCAAACTACTCCCCCACATGGTACAAACAGGATAAAATGACATTTTTATAACAAGGGTGGGCTCACAGGTTCTTGTATTCAATCGTGCCAATACTGTTTGAGTGAATGACCAAAGTCTATTTTACATTATGTATTGGCTAGGTTAAGTAACAAAACAAAAAAATTTTGCTGTCAAATACCAAAATTATAATTTTCCTTTTCTGTATCTATTAACTACAATGTCATTGTATATTATTTTCTACAAAGTTCCTAGTGTGAAATAGAAACTGGTGATAGATAAATTTACCTATAATAACAAAAACTGAATTGGATATTTTTAAAAGCAGGTAAGAATTAAGGCATTTGAGAGCTTAAAATGCACAAGACAACAGAGGTGCTAGAATTATTTCCCTTACGTAAAAGAAATGTTTTATGAAAAGAAAATTTGAAACATAAAATAAAGAAGCTTGCATTAACAGAATGGCATAAAATAAAATGAGTAAAGTCAGTGACTAGCATATAACCCTGTTACAGGGACAAATTTATTGTAAAATAAATCCAAAACATAACCATTAACATTAAGGAGATTATTTCAAAGTGTGCAGATGCAAGTGTACAAATATAGGATAAAACAGTTGAAATGTTAAACTGGGAATGAGTGAGTTATCTTTCTTGAAAATATTAAACATTATTTAATAAACATTTTAGTAAATAGGTGAACAATACTTTAAATAGTTAAATAAATATATGAATTTAACATTAAGCAGCATGATTATCTACAGAATAAATACTTTTAAAGTGAGAAATTGAAGTCAACAAAGCATCAAAAAATGTAGGATCCCAAATGCTGAACAGCCCCTGAGACCAGTGTCAACAATGATACACAAATATTCCTTCACAAAGGAAATAAGTTATTTAATGCATGGCAAAATACTAAAAAAGTATCTTTAAGTGCCTTCTAAATTACACATTTTTAAAAATAATTTCTTTTTTTTTTTAAAGATGTGTGCCAACACAACTTGTTAAAACTGTACAACAACATTTTAAGAATTTTAAAATCTTTCATTTTACCATTGTGTAAAAAAATCAAGATGCCATAACTATCAAACAGCTAATTGTAGATAAATCAAGATTTTAAATATACCAGATACTACAAGGCAGTTGATTTTCCCAGGCTTCTTGTTGCGTGGAAATTTAGAAGATGGTGTCAGTTTTCTACACTAGCATCAAGACGGCTCAGCATTGTCTTGCTCATTTGTTTCATTTGAATCCTTATCCATCAATTTTCTTCTCTTGGCATAGTACTCTACACGTTCTTCAAGGCTTTCTATAAATGAACAAGTTTATAGAAATTATTTGGGTGATAAATAAGTAACAAATGAAAAGGTAACAAATGAAAAGGAACAAAAAAAAAAGTATTATCTTAATGCGTAAGAAGATTGTGTGGTACCAGTACACAACACTATGTGAAAATATTTAATTTTAATTCAGATGAAATTTGAAATCTTAAATTTTAGTTTCTTTGATTTAAACAAGTATAGACTCTTTTTACTTCTGGAATTGATGAGTAAATAACTCATCACTTTAGTGATTTATATAAAACAATTTTTAAATGTTGACAATAATACAGCATATTGACAAAATGTATATTAAAAGTAGATCAATATGCTGCACATACCACACATCTGCCTTTTGAACAGTGGCTTATAAACCCGTGGCTTGTTGCCAGGTATCATCCACTCAGACTGCTGAAGTAGAGGCGCACTTAATTCATTCCATGGGGCGATGTCTGACTCTGCCATTTAGGAAACAAAAACAACAATCTCAATGTCTCATACAATATACATTATATTTTATATGTGATGGGAATAATAACTATGTTAACTAAAAAAATGTTAGACACCTAAGAACTCTGGGCTAATATAATTGGGTAAATAGTAAAAAGTAGTCTTAAGACTTAAAAAATAAAACCTTAATAATAATTCACCTGTTTCCACCTTAGCCACATCCAGTTCCTCAAGCATTCTTTTAATCATCGTAGCCCTGATTTAATAAATAAATAAATCATTCATAAATAAAACATGAAGTGTTTTTTAAGCCTAGAATTTTTTTTCCAAATTCATAAAGTAAAAAATCCACACACAAAAAAAAGTGGGTGAGGGATGATCATGACTTACTTTATGGTGTGCTGCGCCCACATCTGTTGCAAATGGCGAATATTATCCTCATGCCAATCTGGGGATTAAATATAAAATATGTGAACCAAAACAGTTTGATAAAATTACATATTGCTGTAATGAATGTTTCAATTTTCAATTCTATGTATTTATCTAATTATTTTATTTGAACTCAATTGTAAAGAAAAAAAATCTGAAATCTTGACAATAACTTTTTTTTAAATTGCCTATTGATAAAACAAAAACATCTCTTTCACTACAGCAGCATCAACAGTATTTTACTACAGATATAGCCTACCTGCTTCAAAGATCCATTCCAAATCATCACCAAAGTCACAATCAAACAACACCAGAGGCAGTTCTAAAAGAATTGTTTCAGTAAAAGTTAACCAAAATCACATTTTTACTACCTAAAATTTCAATTGTTATATAGATATGTCCAGAAGAAATTATCTAAGCAGAAAATAAAGGTTATTTGCTGAATACAGTCAACTTGTTTAGCACTGCAATAAAAGAATTCGTTCAAAATAATTTAGTTTACCTGATGCCATGGTGTACTGTGGCTTGCGCGGGTTCTTCTCAACATTCAGGAGTTCTCCCAGTATCTGGTATGGGAAATATATTTTAAGTTAAAAAAAGTTTTCTTCCTGACCTTTGCTTACAAACAAGTAGCTACAGTTTAGGAAGGGTATAACATAATCTAAGGAGACTGAGGAAAATGTTGACAACAGATAGATACTTACAGTAACATCTTCCTTGCCCTGACCAATCAAGAAGAGAACTGAAACAATACACCTGATCTGATGCCACAGAAAAGCTTGACCAACAACTGTTAACTCACACATGGTGTAACCATGCTCTCTGGTAATAAAAAAAAAACTAGCATAAAACTTTGTGTGGAATACATATAAATGTTAATACATGGTGTTACAGTGTTCTCTGTTACTGTTAATAAAAAAAACTAGTATAAAGCCTTGTATGCTATACATACATAAGTTAACACAAACACAATATTAAAAAAAAGTTTGTTATTGTTATACTGATGGCACGTACAATTCCTTTAATACTGTGACATCTGCTCTAAGAATCTTCCTTGTAAAGTTGACCACGCCATTGCCAACATCCATTTTACAAAGATTCCTGAAGTCATGCTCGCCAATCAATTTAGTGGCTGCCTCGTTCATTTTCTGGGGATGTTTTTTTTAAAATTAAAACATTTCGTACAAGTGACTAGAATAAAGCTCAAAAAATAGACATTCTACAAGTTTATTATAAATATTAAAAAACTCCTTTTACCTGAATATCAAGATTCCCCTTGGGAAAATAATACTTGTAGGTACGCTTTTTACAGCTGAATCTGATAAACAGAAACATAAGAAATTCACTTTAGTAATCAAAGAATTAAATTATAAAAATTCAAGATGTTTTTTTATTTTGTAACATAGGAAAGCAGAGATATAAAAAAAAACACAAAGGGTTAGAACAATCAACCATTAAATTATGGTTTACATTTACTTTTTTTATAAAATAAAAATATAAATGAATAAAACTTAATGCTGAAAGACGTACCTGGCACTAAAAGCAGGATCTACCGGAGCCCAGGCCAAGACCCTGATTTCTGGTGGCAATACTTTATTCAATATGTAGACAAAACGAATCTCTGTACTGTGGTCACCTGGAAAATATGGAAATGTTACAACATAAAAATTAATTTTTCAAGTTGGCTTCAGTGAAAGCAATAAATAAAATAAACGAGTTTTATATACTTTACTATGATATCAATGTATACCTGGCCTAGTGTCAGCAGTTCCACCTTCACGAACTTTGACCCCAACACCAGAGAGAAGGTTGGTCCTCACATCCAGGGATATTACCTGTTAACAATCAAAAGAAAACACAAAGTTTTTTAATATGTTTCGATAGTTTTTCTTTTTAAAAGTATCTAGTTATTCAATATTTTCTGAAAACACCAGGTTTAACAAGCTCCTAGTTACTAAAATGTAAAGCTATAAATAAAGAAAATGTATCACCTGTCCCAAAGCACTAACACCTTTGTCTGTACGGCCACAACGGTGGTAACTCGACGTCTCCCTGTTTTGTTTTAACACATACCAAAAACGTACATTTTACAATTCATTTACTGGGACAGTAACATCTTATTACCTAGATTCTAAAACACACCAAAAAAAAGGCACTAAAATGTCTAATATGAATTAAATTTCAGAATAATTCCAAGAAATCCTGAAATTTCAGGAATATGCAGGAACCCTAAATTAAAGTTCTTAATTACATTCAATAATCAATATAACACAGACTTAGTCATTTAAGCAAACATAATTTTTTTTACTTATATGAAAATTTAAAGAATGTTGCCCTACCTAGATTCTATGAGTCGAGTTTTCAACAAAGCTTCAAATAAGGCAGACTCAATTGTTTTATCTGTATCTTCCTGAACAACAAATCCATTGTAATCCCAGCCCAGGTAGGCAATTTTTAAAGCTATGTGACGTGTATTGTATCTGTAAATGGAAAATAAAAGTTTTTTGAAACAACTTAAATTATCATTATATAATATACTGTACAAAAAATGCATCAAGTAAAAACAATTTAGATTCAGAGCTAAGATACACTATTTGTAATACTAGATAACTCCATCTGCTACATAAAATAACTTAGAGCCCTACATACCTTGTGAAATCAAATTCTCTCTGCTGTTTGCGTCGTCCTTGGCCTTCAGTTTTGGAGCCATCCTGTTTGAGGACGATGTTCCTGAGCTGTGTGACATGAGCTTCCAACTGTTGCACTCTGTTCACAAGATCCTGGAGATAGAAAAATATCATTGGCAAAGGTAAAAACTGTATCAAATATTTTTTATTAACCACAAATCACCGCTTTCTGTCCTGGTTATGACATTAACAGAGCATGAAAATATCAGCTCAATTTATATATATAATTTGTATAATCACTGATTTCAGTGTTGAATACTTATTTTTCTAACAGGTACAAACTTCAGCACTATTCTTTATTAAAATAATTTCTATAGTATTATTCATAGTTAATGCATGTCAACCTGTAATTAATTATACAGTAATATGCAAATACATTAAATGACGTAACGAAAAGTTTGTTCAATATGGGACTATGGAATACATAAACAATCACATTAAAACTGAACAACCAAGTGTATCATATGAACTGTTGGTTTACATGCTGGGGGTAGCATGCCTGGGGTGCCATGCAGGTTTTAATTCTAAAGAACAAAAAAATCTACCTCATTCCCACAGCAAAAAGAACAAGGCTACCATGCAGGCATGCAACTCACCTATTGTTATAGTTTTATTCTTTTTTTTAATGTATTTTTTTTTTACATTTTACATAGCAAGCAGCTGACTTAATTGAAATAAATAATCTACAAATACTTAACAGGTAAAACAAAAAGTTCTAGAGGAACAAACCACCAATCCATAAGTGACTTTGTTAGGGCAAGCAAATGATGAATGATACAAGATAAAAGACAACCACTTCCTAAAATCTTTTCATCAGACTCCACTGTATGTTAGTGGTTAAAATATTCATAATTTTAATACTTTTATGTTTCTAGATTAACTCTTTTATTCATAAATTACTACTATTTAAACCGGCTAATTACTAATTATTTTTCATAAACTGTCTTTTAAATAGCATTTTGATATACAATTTTTTTTAATAAAGTAAATATAAAGATTCCTTCATTCAAAGAGTGAACATGTTACATGCTGTTGTCGTGAGCATGCAGGCAAAATTCTCAAGTCAAACAGTCTGGCAGTAAAGGCATTTTGCTCCATGCACATACCAAAAAAACTCGTGTGTGGAGTAGTGATTCTGCATGCAGGGTTATCCATTACCAAAACAATTAACTGACTGACTACACACTAAGCAGCGGTTTTACTTTTTTAAAAAATAAAAACTGTTAGAATAAATCTTTAAAAAAAACAGCTTAATTTTATTCACATTATATAATTAGTAGTGCTTATATTAAATGTGCAAAATACATTCAATGTACACTTTTTAAAAATTAGCTTTTAAGATCAGATGTATTTAGTTTGTAATAGAACCGCTAACTGCTCATAAGTAACAGTACCTATGACTGAAGTGCAATGCAACACAAAGTTAATGAGTTAGAGGGATGAGTCCACAACCAGCAGTGGGGTAAAGAAGAAAAAAACAAAAAAGAAAAATCAAGATGCACCATAAAACCAAGATGGGAGGGGGGCACAATGGCTCTAGTGTCCTCTACCTTGTCTAGATTATCTTCAACGTGCACTTCTTCATTTTCTGTTACTTCCGTCTTAACTTTCACATCAGCGGATGGGGAGCCAGCCCCAGGGTAGGCTGTGATGGTATTGTCTGTTGTCGAAGCAGTTTGATGAGGGAGCTGGAATGGCTTTAGGCTTCTGAAATTACCTTTAATGTACCGGCTGGTGGGAGGCTTTTGAGATGGAAACATGAGCGAGCTTTTAGGAGACGCGGACGATGGAATGGAGTTGAAGTTACACTTGGGTGAGCCTGAGGTGGAACCTTCAGAAGAATCTGGAATGTTGGAGAACTGACTTCTGTTTTTGTTTATCTTATTCAAGAGATGGTCTGAGAGGTGTTTCCCACCAAGGAAAAATGATGTTTTGTCAAGAGAGCTGTGCCCGTTCCTGGAAAGACCAGTTGAGTAGTTAGTTTCAGGTGCTGATGTTGTGGGGCAGAAAGACAAATCTCTGGGGCCGTTCTCTTCTTTTATCTTGGGTGTCGACAGGTCCATGACGTCCGTGACAGGGGTGTTAGGGCTGTGGCCGTTATCACCAGTGGGAGGAGAGGAAGACGACGGAATGACTCCAAATCTTGGAATGATAGAAGGTGGAAGAAGACCATTCATAATTTCTGGTACCATGAGGTCAGAAGGTGATCGGTCGTGCTTGATGGAAAGACTTAGGGGTGAAGGCTGGCCCCTGGCCAGGCCATTTCCATTGGACATGGCAACGGCAGCAGCAGCGTTCCTGGCCACGGTCATCAGGTAGGACTCAGGGAACAAGGGAACATTGAGGGGACAGTGGGCCTGGGAGAGTAAAATTGAGTGTGGAGGGGAGGAGCTGGACGTGACAAAAGAGGCACCGTTTTGGCTGACCGACATCATAGAGTTTGTATCCGCAAGAGGCGAGGCTCGCATCAAAGGACTAAAGCTACCCTCCTCGCCATCGCTGCTTTTATTCTCATAATCAGCCAACATTTTGTCCATGTCATTAGGGGGATCCCCATCTTCGATGTAACAGTTATGGCTTCCAAGTATTTCAACAAACCAGTGATCAACGAATCCCAAGCGCATCGTCAGCTTGACTCTGAAGCTACACTTGTGGCCACGGACTTTGATTTTATCACACCCTGTAGAAAATAATTATTAGCACTTTAAATAACTGATCAGCACTAAATGTAATCAAAACTAGTAATGCTTATTTTTAATAAATCATTATTTAATAATATTCATAATCACTTTAATATTAAAAAAAAGTGTATAACTGGTAAAGTAGAATAGATAAAAGTGTCTCACCTGAAATACAAGAGCCATATCCACCACACGCCCGCTTGCATCCTCCTGTGCCGCTACAATACAATGTCTCCCTTGCAACAACAATTTGGCGCACATTTCTAGCTCTGCCTGCGCGCACACTACCATTTTCCAACACCATCTTCCCAAACTCTGTCAGTGTGAACCTATCATCCAAGAAACTGACTCCTTTATGAACATCCACATAGATCTTATGCACCTCCCTTCCTTTACGCAGCATACTGGCCTGTCTGTATATCTCCACACCATAGAGGTATTTCCGAAGCTCACCACAGCATACTTTAACACCTTTGAACTTTTTAGTATTGACCACACTTGAGCCATTTGCTGCTGTACTAGAAGGCGCAGCATCACCATTTAATATCTCAACTTTCACCTCAGCCATGTTTGAGAAAGCCCGTTTTGATAAGTACAATTAGTATCAACAAGGTAAGTCTACAACTGGAGACACATTTACTTCAAGCTCATTGCACAAAAATACTACACAACTCAAAATAGATTAATGTTAGTCAGAGGGGAAACAGTCATCACTGCACACAGGTTTTTTAAAAACTGATTTTAGTTTCTTATCACATCCACGAAACAAAAAATGCTTTGCTAAAATCACAGAACAGCTTTAAAAAAATATCAAACTATAACAAGCCATCCAATGATTACAGTCCATGGCCAATGTTTGAATTATTTCTTGCATTGAAGTTTTAAAAGGTTAGTCCATCTTTCATCAAAATCACAGAAATCAAATGCTTTTCGGTATATAAATTGTTTACCAAGTTAGTTATGATCATGATGTTTTCTTAGCTTTGTTACTATCCATAGTTTGGGTTATTTTTAAATTATTAACAATCCTTGCAAACAGCTGTAGAGGAATACATTAATAATTTTCTAACAACACAAATTGAGAATTACCAGAAAAAAATAACAGGTACATAAGTGAGAAGAGATGTTAACACCTTTGCTGAGAGTTCATTCCTCTTGAAAAACTTTCTTCATCTTATAAATTTTAAATTCTCCTCTTAATATAAAAACCAGTTAGATTTACTACTTTCATTTTTTTTTACACACAGCAAAGGGGTTAACAATAGAAAAACTAAAAAGATCTAAACAGATGCTCTTAAAAACATGAAGACTAGCATAAAAATATTGTAAGATGAAAACTTAAAATCCCTGCTTGTACCCTAAATAAGTTTTTCTACAATAGTTATCTCTGATACAGCCAGCAGTAATGAATACGCCTACCCAACAATACCAGCTACCTTCATACATCTACCTTCCCTTTGTCCTCTCCCAGTGTCCTGTTGACACAATCGTAAAGATAAACACTACCAATGGCTTTTCTAATCAACTCTGACAAAATGGAATTCATTCACCAGAGCCCATGTTTATCCATATGTAAAGTAAGTAAAACATTGAGAAAACAAATGTATCCTGAACAAGCTTGTTCTCTGCTATAAATTCCTTAGGAACTTGGTGTTTAACAGGGAGAAACTGAAGTAAGGCAAGAAAAAAATTTACAGCTAACACCTCCTGAGGCTTTGTTAATTTCCAACAATTAACAACTAGTAAACTGGTAACTTAATTTTGATGAATAAAACAATTAGAAAAAGGATTTTAAAATTGTCTTACAAACTTACATGTTCCTGGGAATATAACATTTTTTTTATACTTTAAAAAGCCATTTAATAATGCACACTCAAGAAGTAATTCTTCAAATCTATATCACTATAACACTTAGAATACACAACAGGTGATCTCATTCCCAAGTCCACAAGAAAGCAAGTATCACTCATTATTATCAGAACCATCGTTAAGACTAATCAGGTCATACCCAGAGGTAGATTGGGTGGCATTCAAACAGCTGTGTGTGGAAATAGACCAGGTGTTTATCTGGTATCTACAGACCGGCCTCTTTGTTTTAGTTTATCTGTGTGTAAAAGACACATGTAACACTGACACCCTTCAGGGTGATGATTGACTTGTTTTACAGTTATTGTGTAAACAGGGGGGAATTACCCAGTCAAGGGGAGAGAAGGGGGATGGATAGTGAATTAATTAATAACCAGACAACAGTAACTTTAAAAAAATGTTTTAAATGATTATTCATTTTTCAAACAAGATCTGTATTTGGCTTAACTATAACTTAACCATATGTGGCTTAACCATAACATATTGATAATCACATTGACAGTGATCAGAAACTGGTTCAATACTGTGGCGCGGCTAAATCAAGAGAGTCCTTAAGAAGTAGACTGTATTGAATTTAAAAGTGATCTGTTGCTGTTACCATTGAATGATGTGATTTACATAGCTTAAAACAATGAATTTGTTTTTATAGTAGCAACAGGAGGAAGCTAAATGTAAATGCAAAAACTACCAAAAATGGTTATGGTAAATTGTAGACAATTGCATTAGCATATTCCAGACAAGTTCAAGCAAGCCTTGAAAGTAAAATGTTTTAAAAGCAAACAGAAGACTAGCTTTAACAGGGAAAAAAAGTCCATGTATCCCAATGCAAACCATATAAACATAAAATGGTTAGAAAGCAAGTTACATTTAACTATTACAAATGGCATTAACTACTTTTATGGTTTGTCCACACAAAAAGAAAACTTGAAATTGATAAGATCAAAACAGTTTTAACGCACTGCAACTGATAAATACTGGTAAATAGTATACGAAAAATGCCAGCTAGGTGTATTGATGCTACCTTTTCCATAACCATAAAACCTAACTGTAAAACAAAAAATACATTTAGGTATTTAAAAACGGATTAAAGTCCTTTCAATGATTACTAAGTATCTAAGGGTTCATCTATAAAATTGTCATGCTTATTTCAACCATTTGTACACCCCCAGCTATTGACTATTGTTGTTTATTTCTATATTTGCAAGCAGGACATGTCAAAGCTATTTTTAGCAGGTACCTTCACCTTAATCATGATTTTTAAGAAAGGTATCAGCAAATAAAACTTTGCAACCATACAAGTAGGCCTACTTTTTTTAACGCCAAATTCTTTTCTACCAAAGTATTTTATTAACCTATTTGATATGGCAATCATTAAAATAAACCCAACTTAAAATTTGAGCATAAGGCTTAACTTTAATAGAAAATATGATTCTACAGTAGCACTCAACACAAACTGAACATAAACCTGACCAACTCATTGTTTAATTTTCAAAAAGTTATATGCATAAATTATAGCTATTATGATATAGGCCTAATAATTTGCTTTTATTAATTATATTTAAAGGTCAAGATAGGATAGACAATCACTGATACAACTATCACAAGCAATAATTATTATAATACGTTTTTAAGCTTTAGAAATTTAAATACACAAGTCCCAAAATTTAATAACATTGCCAGCATAATTTGACGATTAGACCTAAATTTCACAATTAGTTATAATTGAGATTTATTGTATATCCATTATCAAGCGCCCTTACAACTTTTATAACAGCAGTGCCTGATGTAGGCCTATATATATAAAAAATAAAGGATTTAACTACTAGTAAAAATGCTAGTAAGTCCTATAAGAATATTCACAAATAACAGTAATTTTGACCATACAAGCTATTAAAACTGTCATATTCTTTTTTTAAAGACCTTTCTAACTCCTTTTTTATACAGATTCTGTATTCCAGGTTTGCCTTTCTGGGTATAAAATGTTACTTTTTCATAAATTAAACTAATGAGTTTCAAACTGTCAGACAACCTGAGTCAGATTAAGGTATAATACTAGACTATATGCTTCTTATTAATTTGATAAAAATTATTGGACCTATCATAAATTTTAATTTTGTAATAGTTATTCTTTAAGCTAAATTAGATAGGCTAGACTTTTTTATTTTATAGACCTATATATATAACATATAGAATCTAGATGCTTAGGGACTATTCTCAGAAAAGGACTTGAATTCTAGGTCAGGACCTCTAGTAGACAAGGGTAGTTGATCTCTAGATTCTAGGTCCTAGGTCACCTCTCAAGTTAACTGGTAAGAATTGAACAAGTCCAGCATCAAAGAAATAAAACCAAGCACCAACGCTCCACTTAAAGATCTTAATCTAGACTAGATCACTACATACACAATTTTATAGATTTAGATCTACTATTACTGACACACTGCTCATGCTGTTAGTGTACATGTACAAGGTAGTACACAGAACACACAGCAGCAGGTGAGTACAGCAAAGTATTAGATCTAGATCTAGAATCTAGATCTAGATCTCGAAATAAGTATTGAGTCTAGATTCTAGGATGCTCTGGCTGCCTAGCAAATAGCTAGATTTTAGATCTAGATCTAGATTAGATCTAGAATCTAGCTAGATTCTCAGTCTTAAATACTTTTATTTAAGTTTTATTGCCACACAAACAAATTAACTCACAAGAAGAGACTTAACCAAGTGTCAAGTGACCAAGTCAGCTTCATTTTTGTTTTTGTAGAAAGCCTCAATGTTCAAAAATAAATGCATAGTGCATAGGTCTTAAATTCGCATTGTCCTAAAAAAAAATAAGTCTAGATCTAGATAGATTCTAAAAAAGAAAAAAAAGATTTTAAAATAAAAAGTAAATTTTTCCAGGAGAGAAAAAAAACAAGTCACCGGTTCACTAAAAAATATTTTTTTTCACGAGTCAGGCATGCCGCAGTCATGCAAATAGTCAAAAACGAATATCCAATGAAAGTATTAAATTGTGTACTAATTTAAAATAAACTCTATTTACTGTTCGCCACGTCTGCTGTTACTCACCTCCCTAGACATATGTTCAAAGGACTCGGGTATAGACTTTGTAGCAGCTGGTACACGATCGAAATTTCCGGGTGAAGCCATTTTGTTTTTGCCATGCCCCCTTTTTGCCACGCAGCGCCGTCTACAGCTTAGCCTACGGGGTGGGTGGATGCGTCCAACACCCGCTACTCGTAGCACTAACGATTGTTTAGCGCTGTCATTTACAAATCCAAACCTTAGGTTATGGACAGATTTTATTTATTCGACCACACTGAACTCTAAGATCAAGATTTCAATTTCTTTTAAGAAAAAAAAGCAATGTAGTTTAATTTGATTGAAAGTGAAATTCCTAAGCAACTTCCCAGAGTAGGTCAACCATCTACTCTTGTATGTTTATTAAAGCCTACATACTACTACATAGATCTATTACTAAATTTCTATATTCTAAATATACTATCCCAAATAAAACAAAATGGGGCTGTAGGCCCTACATTTCTAATTTTTACTAAAGGAATGCACCAGTTTCTATTGAACGAAATTATGTTTAGATCCATTACGTTAAATACACGGGCTGATAATAGGTCCACAGATTCAAACCCCTAGCTTCCATAACCGCAAAAAATATATATGTATATAGTATATATATGTATCAATATTGACTCTGAAAACGCCTTCCCAACATTTGAATGAAGAGTAAACGCCTAGCACATCACAGGTATGGGAAACTCCCAGTAACATATTGTGTGTAGGCAGTAGACTTAATGAGTGAACTAGATCTAGCTTTAAAAAAAAAAAAAACTGCTGTAATATAAAATATATTTATTGGGTCTAATAGCCTAATACTGAGAACAAAAACTACACACTACACTAACAGGCATGTAGGCCCTATAGCCGTGTTGCAAAATTATCATTTTTTAAACTTTAATACCAATATTGACAAAGAGTGGTCTGGTTTTTATTTGGGTTTTTTTTTTTTTTTACTTTTACGAATGTGTATGATTTTGTTTCATATTCAATAGTGTATTTAAAAAAAAAAAACAGTTGCATCAAAGTAAGCCTAAATCTATATGGAAGTTCAAGTAGAAATAATTGAAATATCCCACACAAGAATTATTTTCTCTGAATGTAAGGAAAATTTCAACGGACGGTGTCACCAGAATGAAGCCACGAAAAAGATATACATAGCACAGGCGCATTGTTTTAGCAGCCTTGTGTCGTCATCTACACACGGCAAAAGGACGGCACTGCCCTCGCTCTAGCCGCCTAGCACAAAGGCTAAGTGATAAGGAAAATAATTACACATTTACCCAGTGTAAATCAAAATGAGGTGGGTGGCGACCAGGGGAGGTAATAAGAAATCGACAGTTATTTCCCTTCCCAATGTTTATGTATTTAAAAAATATGTATTATTTACATCTAGAAATATTATATGTAACATAGTGATTCTTTTAAAATAAAGGCATTTATTATTTTAATCATTATGTGTATAATAAGTTTCTAAACATACATCTTGTATGAAAGTTTAAATTAAAGATTTAATACACGTTTACTTTAATTTGTTTCATATTCCTATACAATTTAATCAAGCAGGTCTAAGAAATGCACTTCCAGTGTGATAAAGGCTATGTTATTACTAAATAGTAAAAATTATCTTTTTTTTTTTACTTATGATTTTAATATATGCAGGATTTTTTACCTAAAATTTAATGATAAATTACTAGAAATTTACTAAAAAAAGGAAACAAGTCATTTTTCTATTTTAAAAAAGTGTTTTGTTTTCTTTTTGAATGAAAAGATTACAGTAATTTTTTTAAAAACTAGGTAGGCCTAAATTAGTCTTATTAAAATCTTTTGATTAAAAAAAAACAACAGAGAAGTGTATTTCCACGTGTTACATTTGGTCTATATAAAATTGTATTTAAATTACCATGTTAGCTGCGATATCCTAAGGAAGAAAAAATAACCAACTTAAACATGTCCTAATTAGCTGTGGTGTGTTGAATCGACAGGACAACACTAGCCTACGTCATGTTCACGAGGTGACCGAAACACACGAAGAAAAAAAAAACACAACCACAACACAACTCGCAACTGGCTAGACAATACCCACTCACACCGAGCCAACAAGCGAGGGGCGGGTGCAGCCTGCCTACACGCTGGTGTGAACAATGGGATGTATTTATCCGACCTACTAGTACTCAGCCTTGTGTTAAACAATGTCATCACACACCGCATGCGCTTCACACCGGGGTAGGTTGTTCAAGCACACACACACACACACGCACTCGTTGAGGCTAAAG